CACCCCGCCTCCCTTCCGACTGCGCTTCCTCTTCCCGGCTCTCTTGCGGCTCCGGCCTCACCACATGCTGACCGCGGAGTGGGGTTGGGAACCTCGGGTACACAACGCCTCCTTCTCATGGGTGATCTTCGTCTTCCAGCCGCCTCTGGAGCCTCTTTCTCCACAGGCACAAAAGCGCCGGCGCCAGCTCCCAAAATGCCTGTGTTCCCAACTGCTGCGTGGTGAGAAATGAGCTAGGGGAGGGGAAATGTGCGGTAAAGGGGCGGGGCCGTTGAGCAAGAACGAGCGTGATAGGCTGGCCGTGGTGACGTAACAAGCCCCGCCCCCGCTCCCGCTCTTTGGCAGAACGTCCGAGATGTCCGCTTGCCGCCTGGACCCGAGCTTTCGCAACACCTCAGGCTCAGAGGTGCGGTGGAAAAGACGGGCCCTCTCATTGGCCAGTTCGTAAGGGACTGTGCGGTCATTTGTTACCATAACCCATTCTGGGAGACCGGGAGGCCTAGGGAGGCCGTTCAGAGCCCCAACCCAACCGTTTAAGGGGAAAAGCTCAGCTGGCCCCCCTTCGCCGAGCCCTCTGCGAGCCCCTAGGCTAGGGGCTAGCCACTGATCAGCTTCGTCAATCATCCTCCTCCCGCCCTCCCCTGCGGCGGGGTGGGGTCCCAAATTTATTGTTTTAAATAATTGATCACTTAATACAGCTGGATCCACAGTGATAGTAAATTCTGTCTAAAATGACTTTAAACAATTCTAGAGTGCCAGAACGAGATCACACAGAAATGAAATGCAGTTGTTGCAATACTATCTTCTGGAAGAACAGAAATCTTCAAAGTGTAAGCATTAAAACACTGATATATTCAATCAGAGGCCTATAGGCAAAGATACGCAGTGATTAAGTGACTTACATATACCCGCAGCTTTTCTTCCAAATATTAAATATAGGAGAAAACCTAATTTTAAAAATGCTCAGGTATTTTTGATGGTTTATGAATTACAGGAGGGGCTGGAGGTTGAATTGATCACCAATGGCCAATGATTTAATCACTCTTGCCTATGTAATGAAGTCTTCATAAAAACACAAAAGGTCAGGGTTCAGAGAGCTTCCGGGTTGGTAAACACAGACATGGCAGGATGCCGCAGATAGGGCATGGACGCTTCACCCCCATCCCACATACCTTGCCGGATGCATCTCTTCTATGTGTATTTTGTATCATGTCCTTTTATAATAAATTGGTAAACTTAAGTAAATGTTTCCCTGAGTTCGGTGAGCCACTCTAACTAATTAATGGAATCCAAGAGGGTGGGAGGTCATGGAAACCTCTGATTTACAGCCAGTTGGTCAGAAGTACAAGTAACAACCTGGACTTTTGACTGGTGTCTGAAGTCCAAGGAGAGGGTCTTGGACTTTCCAATCTATAGTTGATTGGTCAGAAGCACAGGTGTTGACCTGGCCTTGCTGAAGTGGAGGGCTATTTGGTGGGACTGAAGTCTTTGCCTTTGGAATCTGATGCTTTCTCCAGGTAGATAATGCCAGAATTCAGTTGAATTGTAGGACACCCAGCGGGTGTCCTGAGCTTTGCCTGGTAGTGTGTGTGTGTGTGTGTGTGTGTCTTGGGGGGGGGGGAGCGGGGGACCACTCACATATTGGAATTAGTCTCAGAACCATTAGACAAATACTTCATCTTAAAGTCTTTCCAATGAATTTTTCATCTCTCTTATAAATACTCATTCTGTGTTTGTGGCTTACCCTTATTGTGCCTGGTTTTTGTCTCTTGTGCCAAACTTGATTTTATTTGTGCCTCAGAGTAATGCTTTTAAATTTGCTTCAGCCCAAACTTTGTACCTCTTAGGACATTCCTGACAGTCCCCTAAGTCATCACAGCCTCCCAGAAGCCCAGGATAGGCATGGAGCTCCAGGGCCTTGCTTGCTCAGGAGGGATATTTAAACATATAACCAAACTGTTATCTAATTGTTAACCAATATATTCCTGAAGTTCAGCATTAGTGAATATCTAGTAGGATAGATTATATAACAATTTGACCTTAAAGCTTAGAAAGCTTTTCTGGTATAGACTAACTTCATAAGAGTTATTTACTATTACCTACAAGGTGTCTGAAATCATAGCATAATCCAGCATTCAACATACTACACAAACACAAAAACTGGTTGGACTGGCTAGGGCAGTTGGACTAAGTTAGCTGATCCTAATTATTTACTATTTTCAATCAAATAAATATTTAATAACTAGGTTTGTTATATCAAACAGCCATAAAGCCATTGTAATAGAATAGTCCCAAACTGGTTGGCAACTATGTTTCATGTCTTACTCTAGAATGTTTATATTATTCATATGAACAAGATATTGTAATTTTTTTTTAGAATTTATGATTTATAAGCATAAATTGCTTGGGGGGAAAGCATAAATATTTTCTATTGAATTCTTTTAACTCCTGCTTTGTTTTTTGAAATGTTTAGCCTTGCATGTGTGCTCTTAGAGTTTTTTTAGTCAGCCTCTGTTTTAGTTTATTGCTGCATAATAAACCACCTCCAAACCTTGTGATGTGAAAACAACAGTTCTTTTATCCTCCCAGAATTCAGGTAGGGCATGGTGGGCTTGTTTTGTCTCTGCTCCTCAGCTAGGAAGACTCAGTTCAGAGGGGTGACTAGAAACTCGAATCATTGGTAGGCTTTTCACATGCTGGCACCTAAGCTGGGATGATACCAAGGCGGGGCTCAGCTGGGGCTGTTGACCAGAGCACCTACATCGGCCCCTCTCCTCTGGCCTGGGCTTCTCACAGGATGATGGCTAAGTTCTAAGAGGGAGCTTCCTGAGAATTAGTGTTTCAGGAGACCTGCATGGGAGCTGCAGGGCTTTTTATGATCTAGTCTCAGAATTCATATAATATCACTTCTTCCGAACTCTATTGCAGGGATCAGTAAGCTACGGCCAAATCCAGTCTGCCACTGTCTTTTTTAAAAAAGTGTTGCTGGAACACAACCATGTCCATTCGTATCATCTATGGCTGCTTTCGTGCTATGATGCATACTTGAGTAGTTACCATAGAGACCATATGGTCGGCAAAGCCTAACGTATTTACTATCTGGCTCTTTACAGAAATGGTGTTTTGAGCCCTGCCCTATTGATTAAAGCAATTACAACCCTGCTCAGTGTCAAGGGGCGGGGGAGGGGGAAAGACCCCACTTAGTCGGAAGTCTGTCACGGGAGGTGCCACATTTAAAAATACCACCTTAGCTCCTGTTTGCCCATCAGATTTCAATTATTGCTTAGTCTTTAATTTTGTCAGCTCCTGAAGGTAAATGGTTGGCTAATAATTCTTTTAACGAAAGGTTAATATGTGTTCAGAGTAAATGTCAGGGGTAAAGAGGACCTTTAAATTCCTTAAAAGAGAAAAAAATTATGGGGGTGGGAGTGGCTGAGGAAAGATCAATGGGGGGAAAAGAAGACATATGTAATGCTTTAAAAGTAAAGAATTTTTAAAAATAGTGAAAAATTATCTAGTTAGGTCTTACTTGGTCAACAAGTTTCAGGTTTTAGAAATCATTACATACTTATTTATGAAAAAAATTTTAATATGCTATATTGGTATCATTTGTATTAACCCCCCCCCTCCCAGTTTCCTCATCTATAGAATGAGGGACCAAAATATCTGGAGGTAGGGCCCCCACTGGTTGGTTGGTTGGTTGGTTTGAATAGGAAGGGGAAGGAGAGAGGTAGAGACATCAATGATGAGAGAGAATCATTGATTAGTTGCCTCATGCACACTCCACACAGGATCGAGTCCTCAACCCGGACATGTGCCCTGACTGGGAATTGAATCATGACCTCTTGGTTCATAGGTCGATGCTCAACCACTGAGCCACATCGGCCGGGCTCCACAGATGTTTAAAGCTCCTCAGGTGATTTTAATATATACCCAGAGCAGAGAAATGTACAGTTAGGTGAGTTTAGGCATCTTTACAAATAAGATTATCTTGTTCTGTGATTGTAAATGGATATGAAAATGAAAAGTTTTCCCATATTTTTTACTTATTAGTATGCTACTGAGAAAATTATTTGGAATGTATTTTACTACGATAAACCAACATTATTTCAATATCTCACAGTCGTTTGGCCTAGCTGATTTAGCATGAACCTAAGTCAAATATTTTTATTTTCACATATCTTTTTACCTACTGATTATCTCTGTCATTTCACACTAAAGTAAATCTTTTATTTTTCTTGTTTGTTAATAAACATGCTAGTGTGACACCTCTTTTTGGAATGACATTGAAACCTATCTGCACATATGTATTAACATAGTGTTTCTCAAACTTAAGCATGAACATGAATGACTTGAGGAATCTTGTGGATTGATTCAGTAATTCTGCAGTGAGAATCTGGCTTAAGAATCTGCATTTCTAAAAAGCTACCAAATGATTCCCATGCTATCCAATCATCATCCATGCACTACACCTTGAGTAGCAAGTTAAAAACCTACTCATCCAAAGTAGCTAGTTTAGCTCAGAACTGCAAGTTCAGTCTCAGAACTGATTGAGGAAAAAGAATGGGGTCACAGGAAAAAGGGAAGGGGTGTTAGAGTGATTTTAAGTTGTATTGTACTAAGCATAATGGCACCTCTTATTTATTTATTTGTTGATTTCTTTAAAAAGTATTTTCCGAGATTTTTAGAGAAAGAGGAAGGGAGAGGGAGAGAAAGAGAAACATCAATGTGAGAGAAGAACATCCATTGGCCACCTTCTGCATGCCCCCTACTGGGGTTCCAGCCCAGAACCAGGGCATGTGCTCTGACCAGGAATCAAACCGTGCATGGGATGAT